TTTCTCACGGTTAAAATGTTACAGGTAACGTAACAAAAAAGCGTATTTACATATAGGATGTTTCGCTAGCCCGACTAGCGAAAGATGAATGGGTTAAAGGTAGAAATCTCCACCAGAAGCGTTTCTCGACTCGTACACATTTTTAGTTTGACGCGTAACGGAAACCTGTCCGTATAGTCATTGACTCTGGGATACACTGGCTAGGATTGACAGTGACCTAGGGAGTTTTTGAGTCCAAGGACATCTATAGAACCTTACCATCAACTCAAAGATCGAAATTGATGCGTCAGGTGGGAGGCACTTTCACCTCGAAGAGAATCGTATCTCGTTAGTAACTGTGGAATGGTTAATAGAAATTTCTTCTGTAAATTAATCTTTTTAAATGAAGAATAATATCCTATACATATATGTATCCTTAAAACATACGGTTTAGAAATAAAAATTTTGTTTAATTATTATTATAAAAACGTCAAATTTTGAATCACATCTTACTATGATTTTATACTCTTTTAAACTAACGAATAACAATTGTAATTACCCGAATAAGAAATAAATGATCAAACGAAGTCAGTATATAACTGTTAATATTATAATATGAGAATATAAGATGTGTATTAATGTAAAATTAATTGTAATTTCAATAATTAAATCTCTATTAATTGCGTAAAAATAAATATTATAATTCATTTTTTTGCCGAACAAACTTTTAATATTCTTTTATAATTACGAATATCTTGATATATGGCAGCAAAGCTGAAGGCTATATGTTTCTAGGACACACCTGCTGGTACACTTCCCACGAATTCGCAACGTTATCGCAATCACTTTTTTTACCCACTTCCGCGAACCGTTAGCTACTTATCTTGTACTAGCAAATTATTTGTGTAAAGACAGTTCTTTCCTGTATCTAATCTGACCTAAATACAGCGGAACATGAAAGTGTTAGAACGCTTTCGAGTCAAACGTACGATATATTTGGAAAAATGAAGTTAAGTTATGGTTTCCACGATACTTTTACTGCTATAAATTCATGCAGTTATCAGGAATACAAGTTAGGCTAAATAAATTTCCATTATTTTTTAAAAATTGCAATTACATCCTTAATTGCTAATTTAATTGAAGAAATCCAGCCTTATTATTCTTCATGAATGTGGATTAGACTCTTGTTAATAACGTAATAAATGTAATACATTTTTTAAAACTTTTTTGATCTTGATTTGCTCTGTTGAGTAGAAATTGATAAACTGTTAGATGTAAGCTTTGTTAGATATTCTAGAGAATCTCTATTTTTCGATGCACACGAAAGAAGAATTTCGATATACTAAATTTTTTAATTACCTGAGAAACAATTTTTATTTACGGAACATTTATAAAAAATAATAAATAAGTTCATATCTAAAACATGTAAAATAATATTACAAAAATATAAAATAGCTTCATATTTACTGGGCTGATATACTGTATAAGGAAATAATTAAGATAAAAATTTGAAATTTCTAAGCCTTGTTCCTACTAGTATAAGTAGTAACTCTGCCAAGTTTTAAATCATTTCAATCAATGTTTGATAGAGGTATGAAAATAAATGTAATCGATTGCAAAAATTTCATGTATTTTCCAATTAAAACTTTCGAAGATTTGGAGCACGTGTTGAAATTAAAATTAAGATCTTAAATTTTGCAGGAATTTACTCTTTATGTATTGCAAGGTACTTACGTCTAAATTACACTTAACACAGTTTACATATAACACGAATTATTCTTATTTGTACTAATTGTAGGTTTCTTATAAACCAGGACAAAGTAATCTGCTTTACATGTTAACTGTAATTATATATTTTGGACATATTTATCGTATTCACACACACAAAGTACTGATATAGAAGCCATTTGATATTACCGAGGCACAGCAAACAGCAATAATGCTTATAACGCAAAATTATTGATAAGGCTTTATAAATTTAGCACTTGTGTTGAGTTGTTATTCTAAGGGGTTACAAAATTCCGTAATCCACTATTTATGTCAAATAAGCGATTATAGGTCGCGCGTGCAATAAGAAAGAACATTTTGGTCGCATTATATTCTGTAAATAATAATTTTCTATGCAATGTAACCTACGTATAAAGTACCACTTAATTATTGTTGGTTAGGGTTATCCTGACTAACAGGAATAAATCAACTATTCACTTGTGGCTAAATGATTACATATAACTTTTATTGGATAGTGATATCGTGTTTACTGCTCGACATACGAGGTAAAACTAAAGACACGTGTCTTTTTCGCGGTGACCCGCTGGTACCTATGTACGAACGCAATAACACACCATCGGCTTTGTATACATTGCCATGCTACACAATTATAATAAATAATCGAATTTATGCAATAATGTATATGTTGCTTTGCACACATTTTCAAAAAGTACCAATATTGTAACCATTGTGTAGAATAACCCACTCAAATGTTTCGTCATCTCTGAAGCTGTTATTATAGTCACGTCAAACAATCAAATTTTTAAAGAAGAAAAGTGCTCGAGTGTTTTCAGAACATGGAGTTACGGCATAGACTCGCACTCATTCTGCATTAATTTTTGTTTAAAGTACAAATACCTACAAAATAAAAGGAATTGTCTCGGTACAATGAAAATGGCATTTGAAAAATGGCAAAATTTGGATAAATAATTTTGTTGTGCATAGTACTTTCCATATTTTCTATATAATACTCTGTTATCTGTATAAAATTATAGTAAATTGTAGTACAAAATATTTCTATAGCATTGTAATTCTTATTGTTTTATATATAATTATTCTACGTTAAAATAAAAGAATAATACCATAAAACACGGAAGACGGAATTACAATTATATGGAAAAATGGTTAAGATGATAAAGTGTCTACCTATGCCAATTCTACCGATCTCCTGTTCACTTTCCACGCGTCTCGACTCTCGACAGGTTTATTAGAGTGAGTTTAACGACCGCATTGGTCCTTGAAAGGACGTGTGCGTACGCTATACGGAGAATCATAATATTGTACTTTCAGTAACAGAATTCCTAAGACTTGATATGATCAGGTTTAGCAACGCGTACGATGCAAGCGAATACACTTAAGGGGTAAGGCCATTCCAGGTCCCCCCCAAATTAAGCTAATTTTGAGAATTTTTATCAGAAATTTGTTAAAAGCAATGGAAATTTTAAATAGGGTATTTTATTAAATGCATATTAATGTGTAAGACAGCATTTTTTTTATATGTTTTTCGTCTAAAATTGCGGCTTCAAGATTTCAAAACGCGCGAGCGCTCAAATGGGCGAAAGGATTGAGCACACAGATTTCAACCTAGAACACAAAACCGAACATTTTCTGTAAATATATTGCAAAAGCTATGGAATAGCGTATGGAAATTTGAAAATATCGTTTTCTCGCAAAATGGTACACAAGTAATCAAAAAGTCAATTATTTTCCGAAAATTTCATCGAAAAATTGTCTGTAAAAGAAAAAGTTTACCCTCAGTCACCCTCAAAATTTAAAGAAATTTATAAAATTTAAGTCGGACAAGATTTGTAGGAGTTATATTGAGGAATATAGTTCTGAAAAAAAACGCGCTGTGTCATCGCCGCATGGTTGATGCGCGCTGCAAAAACATTCGAAAACGACCTCTTTGAGATTTCCCCGAGCTATGAAATATTGTTCTTCTTATTCTTAAAGCTTTAAAGCAACATATTAACAACAACAAAATTGATTTTCTGAAGTTTCTAGAGTGACCTTACACCTTAACAGTTTTTAGAGTAATTTGTTCTCATCTCAAATTTGATTAACCAATTAATTGCACGTCAAAACATAACGATCATCTCATCTGTATATTTTATACCAGTCAGATAGTACAGTAGTACAAGCTTAGATGCAATATTAAATATTAACTAATAAATAACTGAATAGATTATCTCGATAACGGAGCCTAGCACGAAAAAATTTTGTTCCATATTTTTCATTTATTACACTAGACTATATTGTACAGTTATTTCGTCACGTATTATTCTATTTTACTTCAAATTACTTTTTTCTTAACTGTAACACGACACAAATCTCACCCTATATAATAATACAGTTACTTTATACGGCCTTTCCTCTTGAACGAGGAAAAATCAAACCAGACTTGCATTTCGAGTACAATTTATGAAGAAATAAATGGTACGACGAATCGAAGTTCTGTATAAGGTGGCCTGAAAATCACGATGTCCTATAGGAAAGAATGATTCTTGTTTGAAAAGCGTATCAACCTCGTGTTATTGATTTTTTTATGCATTCACAATCCATTTAGATACAACGTAAGAGTCTTTCAGAATCTTCCTAGCCGTATACAAGTGTGTAATTGCGTTATTTAGCAAAACGTGAAATACTAAATTTCTTTTTCGTTGAATTGCTTTTCCCGTACAAAATTGCTTTACAAAATTCGATTAATCGACGACAAAACTCAGTCGTTGATTTGGATTATATTTTCGTGACTTTTAGCATTAACTCTGTTTTATTGGTAAAAGAATGAGCACCTAATTAACGTTCAACGAAATTTCATAAATTCGATTTGCTTTTTCTGTATTGTCCGTCCGAAAGCTAACTTTTCTAACTCTGAACACAGTCTAAGAACAATTTACATAGAGTACTAGAAAACCAGTTTTCATCTGAAACGATCTTTACAGCATTGTACTGTAATTTCTCTCGAGTTCCTTTTACTTTATAAGCCGGTGCAAAGTCTTGTTGGGCAACAGAAAAACCCATCGTTACCTCTGGTCGACAGTCGTATCGAAAAGTTTTACTGCTCTTTCCAGTACATTTTGTTGGTAGACTGTGACGCGCTCGTTTAAACAGCCTTTCTCGTGGAAAAAGTCGCGTCACACTTTAATGGAGCGCGAAACGTTCGCTGGTTTTCTGGTAGGTCAGATGCCAAAAGCAGTATGTAGATCGATGCAATATTTATTTTGAATGTAATTCTCTTAATAATACAATGTACCATATTAATATGTTATGGAAATTAACTTTATTATACGGTTCAACTTTATTTTTGTTACATCTCGATCTAGATGAATTATAACAAATAAAACAAAAGTTATTTGTCAATATGTACTTGTAAATTATACTTAAAAAAAATGATGAACAAACCTTACAATGATTACTTATTTATATACGTGTATTTATATATTATGTATTTATACATTATTTATTTACATACATGAATATCTTCCTATCTTATTCTTTCCAAATCATTAAAGCATCTCTAAAGTTTAGAATCGATAAAATAGCAAGGAATATACATGTATATCTACATCTATATGTATAAATTATATAAATAAAGTAATAGTTATTTGTCAATATGTATTTGCAAGTCATACATTTGAAAACTGCAGAATATACACATCGTTCTATTATATTATTCCCAAGTCGCTAAATAATTGTTTACAAACTGGGTCGATAACTTTCTTAAAGAAAAGACAATTAGTTATCATCGAAAGGCGAATATACTTATAATGTGTATCTTTAAGAAATTTTAAATCTTTCCCTTTTCCTATAGTAACTGATTTACACGTCTATTTGAATAAAATTCGTACGAGGCGCGGAACTGAATTTATTTAGCATATTTTCATTGAACGAGTACGAGTGAGTTTAATTTATTATGCACCATTCTTACGAAATAACAGCAAGCCAATGTAACATTTAATTTGAATATTTAAAACATATTTATATCGGAAAAGAATCGAACAGAACATTTTCATTAATTGAAATTTTACATTCAAGGCAAATGATATATCTTTCGATTTGACTTTTCTTAAATCCATGACAAACATGTAAAAATGTTCATTTTTAAGGTCAAATAATATCAACGAATCATCGAAATCGCACCGTATAGTGTTTGCTTGTTTTCTAAATAAAGATACACACTTCTTTAAAATTTCTTTCTATTTCTTTCTGGAATTTTTATTAAAATAAAAGTATGAGAAATATATGGCGAATCTAAATATTCGATTAACGAGTTTAAGTTCAAAGTTGCAGCAACAACACTTGATTATTCGTAAAGTTGTATCAAACGAGGCCAACGGAAGAATGTTTCCAAAATTGTTATCGTTTCATTGATTAATACGAATATGCATGATGATCGGAAGAACTTTCCTCAAAAACTTTCGTCTGTTCAACTTTCACTAGAATTTTAAGTGCTTCGAACAGAAAGAAAGTCCGCAAATTTTGCCCACCGTTTGTATTGCTCTGTTGCTGAATCTATGCTAGCTCTTTATTGTCAAATATTTCTTTACTATTTTTCGTGGTGTATAATTAATTTTTAATTTAAAATAAAACAATCGGATAAAATCCATAGGTATCGTTTGTTTTCTATTAATGAATAAGACCTAAAATCACTAGTGAAAAACCCTTTGATTGAAATTAATGTACATACTAAGGATAATATGTTTGTCAGTTTTTATAAAATTATGTTAATCCATATTGAAGGTACAGACGGCCTTGTAGCATCAGTACCATGAGCAACGATTCGTGTGAAAGGAACTCAAGTAAACCACTTTCAGTTTATGGTTTTTTTTATCCTCGGTACATCCCCTTCTTCTGTTTAAAATTTAAATCAAATATGGATTATATTTTTTAGCCCATTTAACATTTTTGTAATCATATATTCTATCGTGTCCAATTACTTTTTCATAAATAAAATAAAATAAAATAAATGTTTCATGTAAAATAAAAAAATTGATTATATTTTGTATCACCCGTGTTTTATAAAAAAAATTTTGAATTTCCTTTTGGAAAATGTGGTATTACCTCAAATGATCATGATGTTGGAACTGCTCGTTGGGATTCCTCTTTTTTTTTTTTGTCTCTTGTTTATCTCCGGAAACAGACTAAAAGGAAGGTGCCACGCACATTTCAAGCGTCATTCGCCCCAGCTTTATAAAAAGTAATGATAATCTTTATTTACGGTTAAATGGCATCTACGCTTCGAAGAATCTTGGGTTAATGATGTAAAGTGACTTTATCTTATGTTTACTTGGTCCATTGTAGAAAGCACGTGTTACGGATGACGTCAAATACCTGGAGATGTTAAGGTCGGCAGCCATTGTTTCACGAACGTCATAAGTTCAATTAGGTGGAATTAATTTTTTGCACGCTAACACAACACGTTCCTGAAAGTGTAGTATAATACAAACCAGGTATTAGTAAAATTCCTATGTAAATACGAACTTCGAATAACAAATAATAAACTGAACCTGTACAGTTTTATCAATATTACCTTGGAAGGGTAAAATTTGAGAGTTGTTTGACAACTATTGTTTTAGGGCGATTATTCAAACAATTTAAACGATTAATACTTTTCACCGTTCTTTTGTTCGTTTAGTTTTTTTTTTCCATTTAAAGAATTTTACATAGAAGGAATTCACTATTCCTTGAACTCGAGATGACATTTCCATTCAGTTGAATTTCAAAATCCTCCGAAGTCGCATGCATAAGTCCTTTGCCAGTGTTTCATTTGCGAACTAAGCTTAAAACGACACTATAAATTTTTTGCTACATAAATAATCACCGGGTGTTGCGTTCTTTAAAAGAGTTTTCTACTTTGGAAAGGATTCGTTATTTACTGAAATTTTTACTCGACCGCTATTAATAATACTTTTTTCAAACATTGCATATTCATTTGGATATATTTTAACGAGAATCCTTTTTCCATAAGGAAATATTAATTTTTTTAACGGATATATTGGCCCAAGTGCGTGGATGAAGAAAATTACGCTGTTTATAAGACCTTGATATTTGATATTCTATTGATTCGCAACAAAAACACTGGCGCAGTTCTGGTTCTTAGCTATAGTCGAGTCTATGAAGAGAGAAATATATGAACAATTTTACTGAGTTTCTTTTTACTCGAACATCATAAATAATACTTTTTCCAAATATTATTAAAAATTCATTCGAAGATACATTTTAATAAAATGTGTACTTGTTTCATCAAGAAATATTAATTCCTCGAATAAATATCTTATTCGATGTACACGAATGAAAAGAAACACGCTGTTCAGTCGTCCTTGATATTTAAAATTCTATTGATCCGCATCAATAAAAAAACTGATGTTGTTTCCTGTTTTCAGTATGAGTAGACCACCAAAGAGAACAAGATATTAAACATTGACGAATCGATGACATTGTGAAACAAAATAATACAATTTTACAGAAGGAGAAACATTTTTCTATACAAAACAAAAATGTGATTGCAGATACGCTAAATTGGGGAAACCACATTAGAAGGCCAAATAAATATATTAAGTGTTTTTCGTTAATTTTTTTTATCGAGAAAAATTTTCCTAATTTCTCTTTAACTTTAAGAATGTTTTAGATATGTTTTAAAATACCTTTAGTAATTTTTTCAGTTCAATTCAAACAAAAATTTTTGAGATATGAGCTGTTCTCTAGTTAATATGCACTTAACATGTATGTATACATATGTGCGAAATTAAGTAAAGGTTGGTTTGTCAACTAGTTTATTCGATTAGTTTAAATTCAGTGATCAGTTTATTCATGTAGCATCCTTTCAGAAATCCGGATCAACACGTTTAAGGATTCAGAAAAACTTCAACAAGTGTCGCCTGAACAATACATCTGAAGGATTTGTGTCGACTTTCTCGAAAAGTAGCACAACTGACCCCGCGATTAATCATTCTTAATATTAGCAGAGACCCTTATAATACATCAGTCAAGCATTACAATTTCTCTATCGACGGTAATAGTATTTCTAGAGCAATTCGAAGCGCAAAGCAAACAAAAAAATAAGGTCGAAAAGGATTTTTGTCGGTTTTCTTGAAAAATAGCACGATGAACCTAAGAATAACCGTTCTCATGACTAGCGGAGACCATTCGGCAATTTTCCATTTTCATATATTAATAATTGAGAAAAATATTGAGTGTAGAAATTAATTCTGTGCTTTTAGATTTAAGAATTTATAACTTCAACTTAAACGGAATTATTTTCTCGATAAAAATCTATGTTATAAAAAATAAAAAGAACTGGAGAAGGTCAAAAACTTTGTACTAAAATCGTCAGACTACTAAAATTATATTTTTACAGTAAAGAAATAGTACTGTTACTGATTTCCTGAATTTTATTCAGATTTTTAACGATAAGTTAAGTAAAATAAAATTCTAAAAAATAAACGATATTTTTGTTGCCTTTTGCCTGTTAGAGTAACTTATCAAACTCACGTATATTATTTATCTGCTTAGTGCTTTATCCTATATTCGATGAAGTCACACTCAATGAAACGAGATAGGAATGAAATAAATTAGGAAGGCACAGATTTAACATCTATGCGTAAAATTGTTTACGCCTAAAACTTGAAGGATTAGCAAGGAATAATGTATCAATTTTTTTTGAACGTTCGAGAGTAGAAAATCGTAGATAGTAATACAGTGTACGTGGCTGTCGTTCTTTTTTATTTTGCGTCCCCGCGGCGTCACTTCGTGTGCTCGCCGAGCGCCGAACCGTTGCGGTATCCAGCTCGGAAGAATGTATGTATAATTCACAATTTACGAAACGGAAAAATTGATTCCCAAAGGATGACGTTGCATTTCAGGAAACTCGTAAAATATTATGGACTTTGTAAAAAATGAAGAAAGTAAAAGAAAAAAGACACGCAACAGTGGTCGAAAGACAGAATTGACAAAACCCATTTAGTGAATATATCCAGCCTTGTGAAGTAACACTGAAAACAAGCAAAAAATAAGGCAAAAGCTTGAAATATTTGAAATTAATCTTTGTAGGTATAAAAATGTGGAAGATGAAATAGCAAACTATTCCATATTTGTTATTCAAACTCGAGAAGAAATAAATGTATCGACATTTACGAGATAAAATTAGTAGATTGACCTATCTATGTTAAATAATTATCCGATTATAAGAGACGTTTTTTCTGAAGTATATCTCTTCCAAAGTATTCTCTTACAGCGATATTATAGTAAACGATTCCAGACAACAATCTGTTACAGATGAATGTTTCGAAGAAAGAATTTTGCTCAAAAACTTTGCAAGTTACTGAAAAGATTTCTTAAAAGGAAATTCTTTTTGTTGCATATTATTTTAAAGATTATTTCTTTCGCCACATTTGAAGTAAAAAATAATGAAAGAATTCGATTGAGATAGCTATTATTTCAAATGAATCGATACTATTTTTATTTTCAAATAACTGTATCGAAAATAACGCTAAATTATCTCGAATAGTTTTCTCTTATTTTCATTTCAATTAAAATATACCCAGGTCTGGTAGAAGTGCGTAGAATTGCGATAACCAATGGAAGAAGAGATCGCGTTAAAACGTCTGTTTTTTATTTAGCTACACGTTTTAATGCATGCGATAGCAATGAGTTGCATGATCACCATAATAGACGAGGACAATCCAATGCGTTCATAACAGATTTTTTTTTCAATCCTGGTTTCTTCCGACTGTTGTATTCTTAAGGTTATTCGCGCGGGAAGAAACCGTACATTACGAGACGAAGGCCGTATCGGAAGGGGTTTCCCCGATTAACTGGTTTACGCGAATTGGCGTTCGTACCCGATTGACGCGTGTTACCAATGTATCTAAACCAGAGTTAGGCGTAAACAAACCTGATTAACCATTGACAGACTCGATTGCAAAATGTAACTGTAATTTACCCAGTTTCGTAGCTGTAAATGAATTAACACTTTGATTGCCAAACAAATATTCTTGAAAATGTCTGCTAGGATTAAATATTATTTAGATCATCGGAGACAACATAATCAGACATCTATCGTGACATTTAGTTTTATAACTTCATAAAAATTCATGAATTTCATTTAAATTCATTTTCTTTGATGCGCGACTTTCAGAAGTAATGTTTTTAGTTCTTCAGTGAAAAGCACTGTCACCCACATATGGGTGACAACCGAATTACGAATACTTGGTGACATCGTTATCTGGACATTCAGATATCCCATTATTCGAATATTCTCAGTCGCAGTTTCGAAGAAGATGAGTAATTTAAATATTTACAGATATAAAGATGGAAGTCAACAGAACCGAATACATACTACTTTGTCCGAAGTCGATAAAAATTAATTTCATTGGTGAAGTTTAATAAAAAAGAAGAATCATGACGTATTATCTATTTAGATTTTTCGTCGCAAGCGGTAAATATCAGTTTCCGTCCTTAAAAATTACCAGAAGGTGTCGTCAACGGGATTTCCACGAGTGGTCCACGGATGTCTTTTTTTCCCCCTATCGTGTTCACTCTCTTTTGCTCGTGTTCGGTACTGTCCGAGTCCGTTGGCTCTGCGTACGTCAAGTGATGTGGGACCACTTAGGCGGTTGACCTCGAGGCGGCATCATTTTTCATTCCTTTTTTTCCATTCCTATATCGAACGCGAGCGGTACGACGCGACGGGCGGTAGATACGCGTATCGCGTCACGCAGGTAAAAACCCTTCACCCTTGACTTTCGCCTGTGTGTGTTTCTCGTGGTTCGCCTGGGGGCGACTGCACGCAGGCGACAGTGGGATTTCCCCTACAAGTTTCTCACAAACGCACATGTTTGTTGTTTGTTTCTTAAGGATACGTAGTCTGTTTTATATTGATTATTGCACGTTATTGGTCCAGTTTTGTTTGTTACAAATCATCAGCCTTGTACATGTGTTCTTCTCCATGTCACGTTTACGTGTTTTACATCATCAATCTTTAACTTCTTACATTAGATTCTTTGCCTGACTGTCGGTGTCCACTGATTAGCCTATAGCTAGGGTATCTCGGGATCGTATGATCGTGTAATAGCTACAGCCCCTGAGGGCTATCCAAACATGTTTATATGTATGTACCATACATTGTAATTCCTTCCTTAGTTTTTCACGAAAGCACGCCAAACATGTTTATATGTACGTACCATACATTGTAATTCCTTCTTTAGTTTTTCACGAAAGCACGCCAAATTGTAAACATGTTTTTATATACAAAGTGATAAACATGTTTACAGAGGAAGGTTCATCAGGAAAATGATTTAGGTAGAATTGAATAGTTTCGAGTGGAGTACATTTTGATGTTGAGAAAAAATGGTCCATCTTCAGAGCTATCGTTGCCATTTTGCGCAAAATTATTTGTTCAAGAATGATATCGATAACACTTAGACAATTTAATATATTATTTAAGATGACTTGATTTTTTCGGATAACCCAGCTCTAAGGTAGGTCGCCGCGAAATATATAATATAAACAATGACAACGCCTCAACTTTCTTAATTTAAGATATTTTTAAAAACAAAAATTGCGACACAGGCTCTAAGAGACTTCTTTCTTGAACTTATTACCAGAAAATGATCCATTTGTAAGTGTTATCCATTAATATTTAAATATCAGTTTCGGAATATGAGGTGACAAATCTCTCTGTACGGAAACTTTTGCACTGCATATATGTACAAACGCGTAACATCGAAAAGGTTAAGTTTCTGTACACCCAGTAGAAACTAGAAACACAGGGTTATTAACGTGAAATTTAGAAGCCTGCGCTATAACTGCGCTGAACACTGACAGGCGATGCACGGTGCATCATGCACCTGTGGGACCATTGGCACGCTTTGTCGGCGCGAATCGACGTTACCCGACTCCGAACGAAGGTCGCCGAGCGTCTCGGGTATATAAAGCGTTGCCCGAGTGACGCTACGCAATCATTGGTAAAGCGAGCGAACCGCGCGCTACGCGTGACGCAACTGGTGCAAGTCTTATTTCTATGCGCACTCGCGACAGTTAGACGCCACGAGCCGAGTAATATCAGTTCATCGTGAAACTTTCCGTTGAGGCTAAGTGTGGAAAAGTGGTTGGGTAGTTTCGAAAAGAAATTTTGGAAAGTAGATCAGACTACGAAGCGTTCGAAGATGTACACCAATCCGTTCAACCGCAAACACAGCACGATCCGTCAGATGCTGGACCGGTTACTGGACCCGACGAAGAGGACCATCAAGAGGTCCGAAAGTGTGTCGAGCTCTGGGAGCAACAGTTCGAAGGGCAGCAACGGTTCCTTCAGCCGATGTTCGCACGGTCACAGAGGCGTCCTCCAGTGGGGCAGAAAGTGAAACACTCGCAGAAGGGAAAATTGTTGCACAGAGAAAATTGTCTCTCCTTCTTCCTCTGTATATGCTTCATCCTCTTTGTCCGCTTTCGTAAGAAACGAGCCGACGAATGGACGGAAACGAAGTTTCCACTCTTCCGTGAGATGGGTGCCGTGAACTGGAAGAAAAGGCTTTTCAGCCAAGTTTCCCGATAGGGCATTGCTCGACGGAAAACACTATTGGCGCGCGATATGCGCCGTGCGGATTCGCGTGGGACGTTTTGGAATTCAAGGAACAACGGTTGAACGTTGCCGAGAAGGAAATCGATTCTCCCTTGATTACTCGGACTGATAACAAAATAACGTCGTACCAGCCACGGATGGGTGTTTTCACGTGTCACAGCCTTTGATACGAGCTTTTTCATCAAAGGAGACGCTATTCTCGTCAGGGTTTCGTCCAGGACACGTCCAAAATGGAATCACTAATTCTTCATCGCGCGCGCGCACACACTATGATTCCATGTAATATCGCGCTGCATCTATATCGTAATTTCGACACGTTCATCGCCACGATGTGCCATAATCGTTGGAACTTAAGTTATTCAAAGTTGTCCGACTACGCCGACAATGTATCTGGCTTGATTAATGTTTAATATATAAGTCTTTGAATCACTGCTAAGTTTGTGTCACTAGTCAAAACTCACAATCAGTATTAGCCATCGAATTCATTATTCCTGAGAACATGTATTCGCGATTTTATCGCACGACACGTATAGTCCTTAACTTATTTGTTTTGTATGAAATTTGCATAAAATTAAAAGTATTTATTTAAATATTACTCGATTCCATTTTATCTCCCTTATCTCCTTCCTTCCTTTTGTTTGATCAAACGTATATCGACTCCCCGCGTTTATACTAAACTAACGTTAGTTGATATGCAAATCTTTCTTTCACTTTCTTTGGAAATTTCTTGCGCATCTTATTGATTTTAATATAGTTCATAACTCGACCTTTCGTTCGTCAGGTTTTTCAGAGAAAAGTAGTTTTGAAATTAAGAAAAATTAATTTGTTATCGTCATCTTTCTCAGCAGAACTTTATACCTTTTTGTCTCGAATCGGTATACAACTTAAATTTCTCCGTCGCGTTTGGTTTTTCTCGAAAACTCTGTTTTCTGGAAAACAGGCATCAAGGCGAACTAAACAGAAAACAATTCTTGAAAAAACATTGCACTAGCATGCAATTCTATAAATTATCTTATTTGTTGTTATTATTGGGTATGGCTTGTTTATTATACCAGATGTGTTTTATAAGGTCAGACATGGATTTCGAAAACGAAGTTCGACACATGCTTTGTTTAACTTCACTCCGTAGATTCTCTTTTATTTTATTGAAAGTTACATAACTTTTGTTCTTGACTTTCAAACTTTAGTTAATGTTGTTTGAAGAGAGAGAGAGTTTCCTGTCGAATCGTGATTTATGTAAATAGTTATATCAGGTGCAAATATTAATTAATTTCTATTTCTTTATATTCAATCGTTTATAACTGTAGTTTTAGTAAAAATATTAACTCATCATTTTGTTACGTTCAATTACCAGCCTTCTAAGTTCTCGATCTGATCTCATATATATCCCACTATAATATGTGTAGATTACAATGAATCTATACATAGCCTAAGTCTCAAACCGATGGGCATTACTATTTATCAATATATTCCAAGTTCAGTGATCTACAAATTTTGCTTGTTGTTCTCCTAACAGATTACGTGTGTAGGAACTTTACAATTATTGGGTGTTGAAATTAATTCCTGTGTCTTCATAGTTACATAATTATTTGTAAATCTAGTTTAAATAGAATATTGATTGGCCACTTTGTTGTGGTAATATCAACCTTCGTAATAATGAAACACACATATTGCTTGGACATTTGGTTCTGTAACTATATGTGCACTCTTCGAATTTGTGAATGAAGAAAAATTAAAAGTTGCATGATTTTTCTTTGTAAATAAATGATAACTTTTACTTTAAAAGGGCAGAGAATTAATTTTTACACCGAATAATTTCAGACCAAGAATTATTTCATTCGAATAAAACAAGAAGGTTAATGAATAAAGGATAAATTAATCATTTAATGAAAATGAATATAATGTGATTCGCATAATAGCAGAGCTGCGACTGACTGGTCCAACGAATTCTCACAGTCCCCTATCAACGAGTGTTGGATAAAGGCAAATATCGCGTTAACACGCATAACACACGATCATGCTCATTTAATATGCGATTTTATTCTTTTGATTCAATACAAAAGATCCATACAATCCATCGAAGCGTTTACTTGTCAAATGTCAAAGTATACAGAGTATCTCACCTAACACATTCAGTTTAAATACCTCGAGTGTGTTTGAAGGTCATATTGTCGAAATTTTAAGGTCATTGGTGTTTTTTTATTTGTAAATGCATACTACATATTTTTATTAACACATGACCTTCAGTTACAGGTCGCTGTATTCGTTTTGAAACGCCCTATTAGATAGGACATAAGAAACTATATCGTTTCATTAAAGAAAATAGTTTTGACCTTTATACCTTCTCTACACCTCTAGTGATAAAAAAAAGTCATCGTCACCATGATACTTATTCCTCAAAATCAAACAACTTTTATTTGACTTTCTCTTTTATCGTTAAAAACAGGCGAGTAAATCAGGTGTCCTATTTTGAATTCCTCACTTTTTATATACTTTAATCGTAATACGATGATATTCATTTCCATTGCCAGTTGTGTATTTATTTAAAATATTAGACTTATGAAACAAAATCATACCGGTGTTTCAATATTCTTGCGAACAATTGGTAATATGGGAATCCCATGACTAATATAAAAGTGCCTGCTCATCGCACGGTAATACATGCTTACTGCTAAAAATAACGGGGAAATGAAAAGCTGAACGTCGGTATGATTTTTCATAGTAGCGAAATAAGCGTCATACGTATTTGCATGTACAGATAATGGTATACTTAAGCACGTTAGACGTAGTCACGCAATTCACTTGTCATGCGTAAAAGAGGAAAATTACTCTGAATACTCCGGTTAAATAGGAAACGTGTGTTGACTTAATCAAGATTTTGTCTACTCTGTACAATTGGTTCATGTTTTTCATCCATCTTACTTGGAAACTGTAATACACGATTGGCTAATAATAAAATTGGCGACTGCTGGGTAAGGGAGTTCTTACATAAATAAATAAATAGCCTTCTCTAGAATTATAAGTTTAACTTCATATGTTTAGAAAAAATAAAACAAATTAAAACAACGAACTACACCAATTATGTTTCCGTTTAAATTTTATTTGAGAAAAGGCAGAATAATTCTTAACATATTACAAGAAACATCGCCCAACTGTTACACGCCAATTTTAATGAAACTTGGTACACAGGTGGTACACAATTGAATTGAACCACGTAATATACTACTATATAATACTGTTACAATGCTTAATAACAACATTATCCATGGAAAGAGTCTTTAAAAAATGGTAATATAATCAAATTTGTTTACGTCGAAACCTGCACTTGTGCTTTTAATTTTTCTAAAATGTTGTTCTAATACTGTACAAAAAAAAAGAAAATGTCCATTTAGTTGTTTAGTTCTTAAGAATGATGGAGAAAGGAGATTGTTTCCGGGCGTATGACCGGTTATCCTTCCTTGATCATGATAACAGATTCAGATACAAAGAAAAACGACGCGACACAACTTTGACTAAACGAAGTAATTAAGATTCAAAACGTTTAACGTAAATTCTTTAGATTCAAAGGTCACGTGGAGCATTGAACGTTAATGAAATAATTCCAAAGCATTTATGAATTTTGTTTGGATGCGATATCATTGATCTTTTGAATCGATGTTTAGCTTTCCGGTGTACTCCAATGCGTGTAAAAGCAATTTGATCGATCGTGCTCGATATGAACACTCTAGCTGTCCTTGCGTAGGAACGTGGCGTTGATAATGTAGAACGTATTGATTACATAATTGCCATGGTCGACTGAAAAAAAAGACACTTCGCGAACCTTTGATAATTTCAAAGAATGATTGCGACAAATTACTACACGAATTGTAATTTCTCAGAGTTGATAAGCTCGGTGACTTTCGTTGTTAGGTCAACTGCTACAATAAAACAATTTTATCGTTTATTGAGAATTTGGATTATATTAGAGCCTAACGTTCGAGGAAAAATATAAAGTAAATTACTAATTATTCATTAACTCTACGTAATTTTAACAAGATTCATTTATACATGAGGCGCAATGCGTATAGTAAGACATAACTGAGTTTTACAAATATTAAAGGTGGAATGCACAATATATGTGTATGGCAAAGAACAACGGAACTTATGCAAATATTAAAGATGAGTGTCTAATAGGCGTGTGCAAGCCCGACTCGAGTATTGGCATACATGAGGTGCAATGCGTATAGTAAGACAGACATAACTGAATTTTACAAATATTAAAGGTGGAGTGCACCATCTGTGTGTATGACAAAGAACAACGGAACTTATGCAAATATTAAAGATGGGTGTCTAGTAGGCGTGTGCAACCCCGACTCGAATATCGGGCCCCGACTCGTATCGATCGAGCCCGAGAAAGTCGAACGGACACGAGCAAGGAATCGAAACATTCAAACTCTCGGACGGCCCGACTGCCACGACCGGTTCGTAACTCGTTCGTAAGACCGATCGCACACGGGCGCAACCGATCAGTTTCAAACCACTCTGAAACTACATAGTTGCATGCGACCGTGGATCTAGGTAAAACAAAGATAGTGGAGTAGGTAAAACAAAGAGCGCGAACGGTTTGTAACCGCTAAGTTCAAATCGGATGCGCCCGTGTGCGATCGGCCTAAGAGATCGTACTACATAGTTCGGATGAGTTGCTGCCGATACTCGACGAATGTCGTTTAGGCGATTTAGTTTGTATTTGTATTTTTTATTTAATGTGAAACTTTTACATATTTATCGACACATTTCCTGTAACAAAACATCTTTATGTTTACATATTCCTTTTTCATATACAGGGTGTCCCAAAAGTCGGGGAGGAGCCGGAAATGGGGGGTAGCTGAGACGATTCTGAACAACAATTTCCTTTGCAAAAATGTCGAATGGGGCTTCGTTAAGGAGATATTAAGAGAAAACCCCGACCAATCAGAGCGCGCGTAGACCGTTGAAGCGGCCGCGGTAGCGAAGGCTACGCGCTGGGGGCCGCGCTTGTACGCGAACAAGTGACTCGACGTGCATCGAAGGACATTGAGGCTGCCGCCTAGCGCGTAGCCTTCGCTACCACGGCCGCTCCAACGGTCTACGCGCGCTCTGATTGGTCGGGGTTTTCTCTTAATATCTCCTTAACGAAGCCCCATCCGACATTTTTGCAAAGGAAATTATTGTTCAGAATCGTCTCAGCTACCCCCCATTTCCGGCTCCTCCCCGACTTTTGGGACACCCTGTATACTTCGCGCGCTTATTATACCCCTCTCTCTTCCTAATACTGGTTAACTCTGCGCTTCCTATCTGTGCCTGGTCACTTTAAATTGTAATGCATAACTTCTCATCTCTATAGGGACCCACTGGCCATCCTATATCTCATAACTTCTTATCTCTTTGTCGTTTGACAACTCATCTCTGTGGGGGCCCGCTGGCTCCCCTCTAGCTCGGGTACCTCAGGGGTTGCTAAGCCCGTACTGTAGCTTACAAAAATACCGCTACAACCCCCGAGGATCAGACGATTTAGTTGTAGTGTAATGTATACAGGTAATATTCGCAACAAAATGAATATTTCAAACGGATTCATTTAGAACGAGTTGC